GTTTTATTTTGTTACTATACTTATTTTACCCTATTTTCCTACTCTGGAATCCAAAAGAAATTTTTTCACAATGTTTTACAGAGGGGTTAATGTCTAAATACATTAGAAGCATAAAATAGATTGTGACTCAAATATATTGTATATTTTATACTATAAGTAGATCAGTTACCTTGTTTGCATAAATTGTGTCATAGTTTATCTGAAGTTTATGTCTCCATTTTGTACTCAGATATCAAAATAATTTTAATTTCTTAAACTTAAAAGAATTTGACTTTTACATTTCATTCTTTTCCATTTTTCTCTCAGGAAAATGCCTTGGATCCCAAGACTACCTTGAGCTGGCTAACAGATTTCCTCAGCAGGCCTGGGAGGAAGCTCGACAGTTTTTCTTAAAAAAAGAAAAATAAAAAATGTTTTGGTTGGTTCTATATTTGAGTACCCTCATTAGTAATTTAAATTGTTCAAATGTTCTAACTGTTCCTTACGAAACCCTTTTTCACATGTTTATACTCCCCCCGTATGTAGATATGGTATATACTTTGAACTATTTATAATGGCTGTAGATACGTCATGTTCTACTTGCTAACTCTGTAAGTTGGGTTTATTTCGTTTATGCACAATAGTTTGCATTTTGGTAACTTCCATCTTATAATATATCCTTTGCATTTGTAATATGGGTGAAATTAGGCACAAAATTAGCAAGTCTGTTTACTTCTTGTAATAAAATAACTTATTCTGTTTGTCATGGTGACTTTTCTTAAGACAATTCAAATTTGAAAGGAAATGCTCACCCCGGCCCTTGAAGCATCTTAGTGAAGACTCGCAGTTAACCCGCCTGACCGCCCTCTTTCGGGACTGGAGTGCATTCTAGTTCCACGCACGATCCGGGGCCACTGGGGTGAGTGAGCGCCTGGCTCACCGCCCACCGAGCCTCCCTCGGACGGAGCACAGCCTCCGTGATGCGAACCGAATTGTTCTCCGGAGGAAAGTCCAGATCCGGGAAGATCCGCCTCTGAAAGACTGACGGGCGGGCGGCGCTGAGCACAGGGACCGTGGGCCTGACCTGGCCGCCGTCCGGGCCCCCACCTGAGGCCGCGCCCGCCGCCGGCGCTGGTGACGCCCCAGTCGCTCCTGTCGGATGAGGATCAGCGTGACCAGCAACAAGGCTCCGGTCGGAAAACGGTTCCGAAAATGTATCGGATCCAAGACTCGGGTCAGGGGCTGAGCAGGAGAAGTTTCTTCCCTTTTTTAAGAGCAAACCCAGCTACTGAGTCCCTAGGCCGCCGGGCGCATGGTTTTTTACTGTTTTACAGAGAAAAGGTGGAGCTCCGCTTCCAAACAAACCCAAAGGCGACCAGCCCCGTGCGCACGTCCGCGGGGCACCGGCCGGGACCGCGGAGAAGTCGCTTTTCACTTGCAAATGCTCGTCTGGTCGGAAGTTTGCCCGAAGCCACAGTAATGGAGGCAACGTGATCACCCTCCCAGGAGCCGTCCACACCCCCCTGCCCTGCCGCCTGGGCGGGTCGGAGCCAGCGGGACCTTCCCGGAGGGTGCTCCCCCCTCCCCCCGGGCGCTGGGACCCGGACCAGCCTCCCGCTGAGCCTGGGCCCATCTCACCTCCCCGCCGCCCTCCCCTCCTAGGCGGCTGCAGACCCTCGGACCTCGGTGACCTGGGAAGGGGTCATCCCCACCCCCGGCCTCCACTCCCCTCTCCCGGCTCCCTCACCCCAACACGGGCCTCCTGTCTTCCTACCGAACTGCCCGCCCCCCCCCCCAACCCCCTCATTCCCGACCTGCCTGACCAGCAGGTGCCTCCTCCAGGCCGCACTCCCCTGGGGCCCGGCCTTCTGCCAGGACTGAGGGCCCCAACTTGCCTTTTAAGGTGGGGCACCCCCCACCCCAGTCCTCATGCCCCTTCCTCTCCCATCGCCCGTCTGACTCCCGAGGCCGCCTCTCCAAGCACAGCCTCTATCAACAAGGTGCTGGTCTGATTGCTGCGCGGTCCTCATTACCGCGCGGAATCCCTGTATCTGGAAGGAAGTTTACCTTTACATCAATCAGACCCGCGTTTAAAAGCCTCTAATCTTCCTTGCATCAGCTTAATAAACTCTGAATTTCCTGCTTTTATCACAGCTTGATTGCAACGTCTCTGCGAATAGTTTATTATTCATTCACGGCGTCCTCTCCCCATCCTAGCAAGGACTTGCTTGTATGGGAAACAGCCCAGGAAATGGGTGGCGATGAGCGCCCCGCCCCCACGGAGCAACTTTAGACAGTGTCTTATTTTAACTGTGTTTGCCGCTCTGAAAAATTTAAGCTAGTCCATATTTTAATTTGAAAGGCTGATTTCTGTCCCACAATCCATTAAATATTAACGTTTGTTGGGATACTGGCTCAGGGGCTCCGAATGTCCCAGAAGTGTGCAGTCCTGCAATACGTCTTGAAGTTTCTGGCGTAATAGCCACACACTTTCCCAACGCTGGGAACCTTTTCCTGCCTGAATTTCAGAGAGCTGTCCACGTTATTAGATAAAGACTCTGGGAATGTCTTATTCTAAAGTGAATCTAGTTAAATAACTAATTCCCAATTTGCACCTATGGCCTCTTAACTGACTTTTTTACTACACAACTGGGTAAAAGTTGAGTAAACAAAATACAACACTTGTCATTGTTACAGGCAATTTAATTTACAAGAAAATCCCTACTGTATTACAGGATATGTTTAAAGATGACCTGGGAACCATGAAAACATATTTATTAATGTAACTAACGGGCGGTAGATATGACACCTCACCTGGGACCTTTGTAAGAAAGCTTCAAAGTTAAAGGCGTTCCCTGGAACCCACCTGGGAAACGATGTGCCCGCAGAGGGGCTGCTGTTTTTTTATACAGTAACAGGCAGATGCCAGCAACCTGATACAGTAACCACTTCCTTCATTTCCCAACACTCAAACAGGCTCACATAAATATCAAAAGCAGGAATTAGATTGTTTGATTATGGATGGCAAGGGAAGAATTGACTGAACTAGATGTTTCCACTTGTAGCATTAAAATAACTGCAGTTTGTCAAAAGCAAAAATTCGGAGCTAATTCACAGCCATTGATGAAATTCTTTATTCAAAAACCTATTTCCTTTTTTTAAAATGACAAAACCCAGTATTCTGGATAAATCAAAAGCTTTCTAGAGATTAAGTTGGAAGTTTAGCCACGTCTTCAATGGCCAGCCACAAGGTAAAAGAAATGCCTGTATTTCAGTTTGGGGGGGGAAACGGCCCAAGTTGAGGGAGCGAAGCCTCAGAGAATAACCCTGATTGTGGACACTCTGGGCACTGGGGAGGGAGAGCTGGTCCTCTTGCCCTGGTCTCTCCCCTCATCTGTGAGTTCGCAGCGCCAATGCCTAAATCCTCTTTCCTTTCTGTGCTGCCACCGCCTTGGCGCTCAGGAGGCAGCAGAAATGTGGCTGCACGTCCACACCTCCGCCGCTTTCAGTAACTGCCGGCCAGTCCCCAGCTTCCTGGGGGCGCGGGGAGGGCGGTGGGGGGGAGTCCTGCCCTCAGCCCGGCTGGAACCCACGGCGGCCCCGGCCCTCCCGCAGCCCACGCCCTTAGCAGAAGCACCCACTCCTGCCCCGCGGCCACAGTCCCCCCAGTTCTCCCCGCCGGACTCTGCGGGAGCCGAGAGGGCGGCCGTCCCCCGCGCAGGGGCGCTGCCGTCCTGCAAACCCACCCGGGCAAGAAGGGTTTGTGGTCATTTCCCTCGAGGGACAGGGGAACGGACACCCGGAGGTTCCTCCACGGCAGCGGCTGGGCCGGCGGCCCGCGTCCCCCGCGAGGCTGCAAAGGGTTAACCTTTCCGAGGGGAAAACCTGAGCCCGGCTCTGCGCGCTCGCCCGGGGCTGCGGGAGATTCGGTATCTCTCCTGATTTCCTGCGACCTCTCAATCCCGTTTTCAGGACAACAAGGGGCCGGGTTTGAAATGTCACACCGAGTGACCCGGGCCGTCCCCGCCCCGGCATTCGGGCCTGGAAAGAAAATAAACCGAAGACACGCCAGACTGGTTCTGGGGGGCTCGAGGCCCCGGCTCCCGCGCTGTATCGCTTGCAGGTGATGCCGGCGCAGATAAGGGGCCGCCGAGCGCCCGGCCTCCGTCTAGACGGGAACTAATCACCGGCGGGACCCGCAGCGCCCGGCCCCGGGGGCCCAGGCCGGCGGGAGGGCCCGGGGCGCCGGCCCACGAGGGGCGACGGGGACCCCAGGCCCGAGTCCGCCCCACGGCGGCCGCCCGAGCCGCGGCTCCCCGCGCACACGGGGCCGCCCCTCCCGCCGCGCGCCCGCGCACCCCGACCCCACCGGCCGCAGCCCCGCCCCGCGCGGCGCCCAATCCCCGCCCGGCCGGTCGGGCGCGGACACGCGGGGCGGCGGCGCACGAGGCGCGAGGACTGCGCGAGGCCCCGACCCCGCGGCGCCCGGCACACGGGAGCAGCTCGCGTCCGGTTATTATTTTTTTATTAAGATGAAAATAGTCGTCCCACTACGAACGGACGGTTCTTACAATAAATAACAATAACTTACGTTCTGTTAGGCAAAGGCTCACACGCTCTGTCCTCCGTCGACGGATAATTTAAACGCGTTCAAGGTAAGTCCCGATTCTGTTTTCCCCGCGGCCATGCGCTTTGGGGGGCCGAGGTCTGCTCCTTGAGGCCTCTTCCGGCCTCTCCCCGTCGGAGCCCCTCGGGTCCCCCCGCAGCCGCGGGGAGAGGACAGGGCAGGGCTGACGCTGGGCAGCCCCCAAGTCTGGTTCCGAGAACACGCAGGTCCTCGGAGCGGGGCTCTCCGGCCCGGGAAGCCGGTGCGCCCTGGGCTCGCGGCCCTCCGGTCGCCTCTCTCCGAAGCCTCTCTTTAAATAACAATAATGACAGTGACGGCGGCGGGGGCGCTGGGCTGAGCTGAGCGCTGGCGAGTCATGCAGGGAGCATGCGCGGTCCGGTCCGCGGCCGGGCCCTCACGTCTCCACGGGGCTCGGCACCATGCTGTTGGGCGTGTCGGGGAGCTGCGAGGACAGGGAGGTCACGTCGCTGCCGGAGGAGTTGCCCAGGGAGCCGGACTCGGAGAAGGAGACCTGCAGGCCGCAGGGAGGAGCGTGAAGGCGCGTCTGGTCGGGGCTGAGTCGGATGCCCCCCTGGGGACGCGCCCCTGGCCGGGAGCGAGCCCTGCAGACACTCGGCCGGGTCCCCCAGGCGCTGGCTAATCCCTCTGCTACGCGCGCCTTAATCCAGGGAGACCCGCCTTAGAGCGAATTACCCCTCCCCCCAACACCGACGCCCCCCCCCCCGCTGGCCCCCCTCCCTGGCTAAAGGGCCAAATCCCCGCCTCAGAGGCCTCACCAGCTGCTGGAAGGCGGGCTGGTCCAGGTCACTCTGCAGCGCGAACTCGCTGAGCGTTTTCCACGGCGGCTGGTAGGTCTGCACCTCGACCGCGCTGCCCTGCAAGGCGCTCTCGTGGCGGATGGGGCTGCCTGCCACCAGCGGCGTCCCGGTCAGTCCCTGCAGGCTCTTGGGGACGAGCAGAGGGTGAGCGGGGCGCGCGAGTAAGGTCTCGCTCACGCGCGTTTCCCTCCACCTTGGAGACGGGGCCCGGGGCGCTGACGCGCGATTGGCGGCCTGAGGTGACCGCACCCGGGTGAGCCCTCCTTCTCCAGAGAGACCACCCGGGGGCCTCAACCCCACAAACCCGCCGCCACGGCCTGGCCTCGGGGCTGGGAGCCCCGGGGCCAGGGAACCCCAGGCCTGAGTCCCCTTCCTCGCCAGGAACGCAGGACACGACCGGCCAGATTTGGGCTCCAGGAACCCCAACTCAGATCTGCCTTTGGGGCACGGAGACCCCAGCTCAAGATGCAATAATTAGGGAGCCCAGAACCCCAGGAAAGCCTTACTCTGAAGGCCCAAGCACAGGCACAGGTCCACTCCCCAGTCTCCCCAGGAGGAGGGCGCAGGACGCGGGCCCGGCCTCACCGTCTTGTCGCCGAGCTGCTGCTGCTGCAGCTGCTTCATGAGCAGCGACTTCTTCTTGTCCTTGCAGCGCTTGTTCTGGAACCAGACGCGGATGACCCGCGGGCTCAGGCCGGTCATCTCCACCAGCTGCTCCTTCATGAGCGCGTCGGGCCGCGGGTTGGCGGCGTAGCAGGTCCGCAGCGTGTGCAGCTGCTTCTCGTTGAGCACCGTCCGCACGCGGGTCGTCTTCTCCGCGGGCTTGTGCGCGTGCGGGCGCAGCGCGGGCTGCCGGCCGGACCCGGGCTCTGCTCGCACCCGGCGCGCGGGGGGCAAAGGCCGCGGTGAGCGAGGGCCCCCGTTCCCGGTGCGCCCTGCCGCCGCCCGCCCGCCCGCGCCCCGTCGGGCCCTCCCCCCGGACTTCGTTTCTCTTTTATTCGTTGATTTCGTTGTGCCGTTCACCTCCCCTTTCTCTCTCTTCGCCCCACTCGGAGGGCGGTGCGCACGGTCGGTTGCCCCTTCCCGAACCCCCGTCCCTCCGCGCGCAGCGACCTGCCCGAGTGCGGGAGGGGCTGCCCCCAACCGCGCCTCCTGCACTTACTGGACCCAGGAGGCCCTCGAGACCTGAACAGGAGACGAAATCGCCTCCGGGAAAAGCCCATGTTTCGGAGGCAGAGGAAGGAGGCGCCCACGGCCTCTGGAGCGGGAGGACCCCCAGCGCCTAGCTGCTTGAATCTGGGGGCTCACCTTCCGCGCCTCGGGCCCCTCCAGCCCTACCCTCTCTTTCAGGGGGGTCACTCGGCCCAGACTGTGCACACCGGCCTGGGTACTGCTCCTCCCTCACGGCGCCAGGGTTCCCGGCCCAGCGGCTGCCAGCCTGGCCCTCGCCCGGCCTCGCCTTCTCTCCACCCGGGAAAACAGGCCCCGATTCCCGCGGCTCCGCGACAAACAAAAGGGAGATCCGAGCGCGCGGTTCCCGGAACCGGCTTCATCCTGCCTCACTCGAGCGTCGCCACGGGGTCCGCACTCCCCGAATTCCTGCGCACTGATTCGGTGTAACCCCGCCACTCCGCCAGGGGTTCTGGATAAATATTTACAAGCAGCCGGCACAGCCGGGTTTGCTCGTTCTATAGGGGAAGAAGCGGAGGGCCAGAGGCGGGGGTGGTGCTAGGGGGGCATTACCAGGCCTCACGGCACCGCCGGGGTCAGGAATGGCGCTCGGGTCTGCGGCCCCCCGCCCGGCACACGGACCCTGACCGCGCTCTCAGCTCCGCAGGGCCCACAGCGTCCCCGCGGGAGCGTGCCCCGTCCCTCCCCACCGCCGGTGAGCATTTGGCTAAATTGTTCCTCAAACTGGGCCTCAAAACACGACACGGACACCCCTCTTCCTGGGCGGTTGGGCCTCGGAGCCGCCTGAGCCAGGCCCGCGCTCCTCCTCCACCCCCGGCAGCTGTCACCCCTGTTCCAGCTCCTGGAGCCGCGTCCCTGTGCCCTGGTCACGGGGGACACAATTCTCCGCAGTCCGCCCCGCACGCACGCACACACCACACCATCCTGGCTCCCGGAGACCCGCAGACAGACGGTTTCCCCGCACACACACCGGCCTGGCTCCCGGAGACCCGCAGACAGACGGTTTTCCCGCACGCGCACACACACCGGCCCGCAGACACAGAAACACACGAGTGACCACTTTCCGGCCCAGCCGCCAGCCCTGCGCACGGCCTCGCGCGCGGATGCGCTCACCTGGCAGATGCAGGCCCCGCGCGGGGAGCGGGCCGGGGCTCCGCGGGCTGCCGGCCCCCGCGCGCTCCAGCAGGAGCCCGTGGTCGGCCCGGCACAGCAGCTCGTGTTCCCGCAGCGAGAACTCGTCGCCCGGCAGCAGCTGGCGGCTGCACACGGAGCAGCGGAAGCACTCGATGTGGTAGACGCTGTCCCGCGCGCGCATCACCAGGTCGCTGCTGCTGAAGCCCACGCGGCACTGGGCGCACTTGACGCCGAAGAGCCTGCGGGCGGGCACGGGGCGGGCGGTCAGAGCGGGGCCGCGGGCGGTCAGAGCGGGGCGGGCGGTCAGAGCGGGGCGGGCGGTCAGAGCGGGGCCGCGGGCGCGCCCGCCGGGAGGGGTCGCCGGGCCTCACCTGGCGTAGTCGCGCTTGCAGTAGGTCTTCCCGTCTCTCACGAAGCACGTGCACGTCTCGTCCAGGTACTGGCTGCACTCGGCGCACTTGAGGCAGGCGGCGTGCCACTCCAGGTCGGGGGACACGCGCAGGATGAACGGGTCGTGGATCTGGCTCCCGCAGCCCACGCACGTGGCGGTGCCTGGCTTCTCTGCGGGGAGGACAGCAGTCAGGCCCGGCTGCATGCAGATCCGCCGCGACCCGGGGCGCCCGCCCGGCCCGCGGGCTCTCGGGCAAGGAAGCGGACTTCCTACGGGTTCCGGGCGATTGGAAACTCAAAAACAAAAACGGAATTTGTGAAGGCGTTTTGCCTCCGCCCCTCACCCCAAATTTAAAAAAAAAAAAAGTATCCATTCGGACCGTCGTTTTATCGATGTGCGTTGCAGCCACAAGCTAAGGAGGTCGTGGGTGCGGAGAAAGTAACTGGGCCCTTGGGCTCTGCGGACCCACCGCGTCCACAGGAGCGGGACCCGGCCCCTCCCACAGCAGCCCCGCCGCGCACCGGCTTCAGCCCGGGCTCCCGCGCCCTCAAGGACGCCGTGCGGAGGCCAGAGGAACAGTCCGCACCCGCCAGTCCCCGCGACCAGCGAGCGCACCGGAGCCCACAGCCCCGAGTCCCCCCGAATGGACCCAGCAGGTCCCGCAGCCCGAGGCCGGCCCGCGAGCCGGAGGAAGGGCTCATGACGATGAATTAAAGCTGCCGGATCCCAGCGGGAGGTCGCGCTGCGGGGGGCAAAGGCGTGCGTTTTGCTCTCGGTCGCCCCGGGTCCTGTCAAGCACGAGCCACTTGTGGAACCCGCCGGCCTGCAGCGCATCCTCCTGCCGCAGGGACAGCGCGCACCGCCCACGCCCCCGCCCCGGGGACACTCACTCTTGGCCGGATCCCCCATCGCACCCGGGGCCGGACACCGCAGCAGGAGGTCCACCATCCGGGCGGCGGCGGCGGCGGGCGCCCCGTGCGCGCCGGGCGGAGGACCAGGGTCGCGCGCCCCGCCGGCTCTTGGCGAACTAACTCGGGCCCCGCGGACTCGCAGGACCGACCACACCGGCCCGCACGCAGCATGACGTCAGCACGCCGTCGCCGGGCCGGGCGGGGCGGGACCTGCGGCGTCACCAGCCTCCCCAGGACCGGGGTGCGGGGGGCGGGAGGCGATGGGGACCCGCAGCCGGTGGGCGGGCGCGCCGGGTGGGTGGGAGGCGGGGGCGACGCGGGATTGGCTGCAGGGAGAGGGGCCACCCTGATTGGCCGGAGTGAACAATGGGGCGCAGCCCCCTCCGCGAAATGGGCCGGGAGCCCCCGGGCTGCGACCCGGCGTCTGGGCTGGACCGACCCCCGATCCCCGCGCGCCCGTGTCCCGCGGCCCCCACGGCTCTGCCCGAGCACGGAGGTGGATACCGACCGGGGAGTGGAGGGTATTGAAATGCTTTTAAAGGTTCCCGTTCGTAAATTAAAATTAAAATTTAAAATTCATTCTTTGGGGATCAGAGCTGGGGAGGGAGGGTCTGTTTGGACCGGACCATCACCATCCAGCAGCCACCCCTCTCCTCCCTGCGCCTTTGTTCTCGGGGTCCCGGCTGGAGGGAGAGGCCGGGGACCCCGGTTCGGTTCGGGTAAACTGTTCTCAGACGCCCCGCCCTGCGCCCAGAAAACTTCTCCGAGTCGGAGCCCCGGGTGGGGAGCGCGGCGGCGCAGAATCCACGAGGAGCTCCGGAATCCGGGCTCGAGCCTGGACCCGCACATGTGGGCGGAGGGGGTGTATTTTAACTCCAACCCCCCCCGCCATCCTTCGCCCCTCATTCCCCTCGGTACCCCGCTCAGTCTGGAAACCAGGCTGGGTCGGAGGAGTTTCCCGCCTCCAGAATTAACGATTTTTGTAAACTCTTAACGTTCCATTTCACAGCCCAAATAATCAAGACACGATTGAAAGCAAATAATCAAGACACGATCGCGGCTGGGAAATGGGCCGACTGTGCGGCGGCTGGTCTGGGCGTTTATCTCTTTCAGAGAAATCCCCGTGGGTTTGGGTGGAAAGGGTGCGGAGACAGACCGGCCCGTGGTGTGGCGGCGGCCGTGGCTGGCCCGTGAGCGGGGTGCGCGGGGTGCAGAGGAGTCGGTGCGCGCGGGGCTGGGCGCGGTCTCCGCCGGATCCCAGACCCGCCCAGGTCTCCGCAGGGCCCTCGGCCCCGGCCCTCCTGCTGGAACCGGGCTGCTTGGCCTCAGGCTCTGGGCTGCGCGCCCGGAATGGCTGCAGCCGAGGACGCGGGGGAAAGCGCGGCGGGAGCCGGCCAGGCCTCTGCGCCCAGCACCTCTGCGCCCCGAGCGCCCACCCGCCAGCGCTGTGTCGGGGCCTCCCGCCGGGGGTGGGGGGTCGGGGTGGGAGGCCAGTGGTCGCTCCCGGCTCCTGACCACCGCCCTCGCCTCGGGACGCGTCTGTGTCCTCGCGGGTCCATTTCTCCGCATCGCGTCCCCGCGGTGCCAACAGGCCGCTCCTGGCGCCTCTGGCCACTGGCGCTCTCCCGACTGTGTCGCTGCAGGTCGGGGTGGGGAGAACGCGGCGTCTGAATGGATTTGTCTGTAAAACAGACAAACAGAGGGGTTGAGCCAGGGGCGGGCGTCTGTGCGTTGGCTGCGCGGACGACGGTGACCGCAGGCACCCGATGTTGCTTTTCTGCCCCTCAGTCTCCCCATCTGTAAAATGGGTGGAAGATGAATAGCTACCCCTACGGCTGTGAGGATTAAATCCGTCTCTGGACGAGGTTTAGGACAATCCCTGGCGCCCAGGAAGCGCGGGATCCGTGTTAACTCTGATGGATTTCATCGTGGCTGTGTCTCCGTGTTGGAAGCCTCTGTGTGGGGTGCGCGGGTCCCGGGGCGTGGTGCCGGGGGCGCGGTGCTGGAGCCCAGGAAGCTCCCGTGGGCTCGCACTGCGCAGGCACACACAGGCGCACCTTCCAGTTGTTCCCCACCCAGGAGACCTTCCCCTGCACCCAGATGTTTTCTCTGTTTTTCCCAGAATCACGTGTGTGGGAGGAACGGGGGGCCTAACTGAGCATCAGCAGCCTAAGGTCAGACACGCTGGACACACATGGTTGTCCTTACCCTCAACAATACTAGGAAGGAGCTACTCTTGTTAGAATTACCGCTATTTCGGTGGCTGAGCCTCAACCTATGAACCAGGAGGTCATGGGTCGATTCCGGGTCAGGGCACATGCCCGGGTTACAGGCTCCATCCCTGGTAGGAGGCGTGCAGGAGGCAGCCGATCCAGGATTCTCTCTCCTCATTGATGTTTCTATCTCTCTCTCTCCCTCTCTCTCTCCCTCTCCCTCTTCCTTCCTCTATGAAAACAATTTTTAAAAATTGTCCCTATTTCACAGGTGGGGCAACTGAGGCTTGCAGTTAAGGAGATTGTCAGAGGTTGCACAGCTAGTGGGTTTGACCCAGGCTCTCTGCCTGCAGAGCTGCTTATGGAGCCCTCGCACCCCCTTGCTCCCGGGCCGCACAGGGATCCCTCCAGGGGCACAAGCCCCCCCCCCCCAAAGGAAGCAGCTGCATTGATCCTCACCCCGAGTGTCAGAGAGGCAAGGGGCCCAGTGACCTGTCCCAGCATGGAAGCGCCAGACAGCGATGTCACTGGAGGCCAGGTCTCCCGCCCAGACCAGGGCTCTTCCCGCTCTGGCTCCTGCCTCCAGCCTCCTCCCACCTCCCGCCCCAGGCCTCCACTTTCCTCCAGAGGCAGCTGGAGATGTCGTGTTGAACAGGCCATGAAGGGCCTGGGATTCACACCGTCACCTGCCAGCGGCTTTGACGTGGGTGTGTGTTGGAGGGGCGGGGGGGAGGTTCCATGTTTCAGAGACGCAGCTGAGGCCTGGGAAGAGGAAGAAAGTTGGCACATCAGGGTCAGCCTCCAGGCCTCCTGATAGCCAAGCCCCTGCTCTCTCCATGACACTCTTGCCTGCCTCCCCCCTCCCCCAACGTCTCTGAGCAAATGGGTCCCAGTGCACTGCTGGGCCCCTCTCCCTCCTTCCTGGGCCACATGTGCACTGACCACTTGCTTCAGGCCGGGCCCTGGGCTAGGCCATTACGGACAGTGTAATTTACTTTTTCAAATATATGTTTATTGATTTCAGAGAGGAAGGGAGAGGGAGAGAGAGAGAAACATCAATGATGAGAAAGAATCATCAACCAGCTGCCTCCTGCACGCCCCACACTGGGGATCGAGCTTACAACCCCAGGCTTGTGCCCTGACCAGGACTCGAACCGTGACCTCCTGGTTCATAGGTCGATGCTCAACCCCTGAGCCACGCCGGCCGGGCACAGATGGTCTCGTTTAAAGCACCGGCTGCCTGCCCATGAAGCTGGCCCTGCCCCTGAGCATCCCAGAAATGAGCCCATCACCTTCGCAAGTGAATCCAGCTCCTAAGGGGTGGGGTTGGGACTCACACTCACACCCACTAGCCCCTGAGGCTGCGATGAAATGAACACGTGCTGCTGGAGTCTCTCCAGAGGGGAACGGCCTCACTGATTTGCTTCTCACTTTCTTTATAGTAGACACGTGCCAAACCATTCCGTTAAGAAACCCACCGTCTGCAGCACTTCTGTACGTGGGAGATCAATAGGGTCATTACACAAGGATGACAAAATGAACCCCCCTTTTAAGATATGGGAGCCTTTTCCCAGCCAGCGTGGCTCAGTAGTTGTGTGTCAACCAGGAGATCACAGTTCAATTCCTGGTCAGGGCACCTGTCCAGGTTGCGGGCTTGATTCCCAGTGAGGGGTGTGGAGGAGTTAGCCTATCGATGATTCTCCCTCATCATTGATGTTTCTGTCTCTCTCTCTCCTTCTCCCTTCCTCTCTGAAATCTATACTAATAAAAGGGTAATATGCTAATTAGGCCGGGAGACCTTCCAGACTTCCTTCCGGATAAAGCCATGGTGGCGGGGCCTGAGGCAGAGGGGGTTAGGGGCGATCAGGTCTGCAGGGGGGGCAGTTGGGGGTGAGCAGGCTGGTGGGGGGGCAGTTGGGGTGATCAGGCTAGAAGGGGGGAAAGTTGGGGGTGATCAGACCCACAGGCAGAGGGGTTGGGGCACTCAGGCAGGCAGGCAGGTGAGCAGTTAGGAGCCACGGTGCCGGATTGTGGGAGGGATCCCAGATTGGAGAGGGTGCAGGCCGGGCTGAGGGACGCCCCACCCCCTGACACGAATTTTGGGCACCAGGCCACTAATATATATATATATATGCCTTTGTTTCTTTTTAAATCCCACGCTGGAGGGAGCTGCCAGGATCACCCACCAAGCCTGGATCTTGGCAGAGGAGGGGCCATGGGAAGGAGCTGTGCCTGGTAGCTTCTGGGAAACTTTCATTTTTCCTGTCTTTCCAGAAGGCGGAGGCCGGCCAGCTGGCCTGGTCTGGGAGTGGCTCTGAGCAGTCTGGCAGCTCCCCCATCTGCACAAGTGTGTGGACTGTTGTGGGTTTAGGTTGTGCAGACTTTGGGGCCGGTTACAGCCCCGTTATCGATCGTAGATGCTTTCCTTTCTCATCCTAGATCCTCAAATGGGAGGTGTCTCTTCGTAAAGTTATGGTCAGAATCTCCGAAAGGTTTAGAAGGACGTGCTTCATTCTTCCTAACACACATTCATACGAAGCTCAACGTGTGTGTTTTTCTTCACAAAGTGGGATCATAAATCACTCCAGTGCCTGGCTCTAGCGAAAGCCCATCAGGCAACAATTTCCCAAAAGAGCCATCTTCTGGAGGCGATCGCTAACGGCAGATTCCGAAAATAGGTAATGAGGGAGAAAACAGAACCTGGGTTGTCAGCGCTTGCCCGGCGGGATTATCCGATGTCTAATCGTGCACAGGTTGTGATCAGCGTGACTCACGGCAGAGGGGTCTTAATCCGACTCGGGAGGGAATCCGGCCGGCCGGGTTT